TTTGCAGTCTGATATCGATAGCTTTCTTATTTCCATAAATTAGGCTCTTGTCCAAAAGTTCTCGCCGATTTCGAGTTCTTCGAATAGAATAACTGTTTCATAGTATGACTGTTCCCGAATGAGGTAACCTCTGTGAATTCTATATTCCCTTGAACTATTCAGGTTCAGTATATTGATTTTTTTTCTCATGTCAGCATATGTTGAATTGTGTTTGCGGCCCAATTCGGCTTCAAACAGGGCACATAGTTATTGGGGATTCCCAACAGGTGGGGGGGGGGGTCCTATTTGCTTGCTGAGAGGGAGAAGGTCGTATCTGATCTGAGAAAAAATTTTTTGATAGTTTGCTTTCTTGTTCAAGGGACGCTATAAAGTAGGGGGGAGGTCGTGTTTGTTCATTGTAGGGAAGGGGGGGTCGCGCTGGTCTTGTAGTTTTCTGAAGAATTTGTTGATTTTTCGTTTTCCTGTTTCATATGTACTGCATACCCCTCCACCGAAAAAAAATTCCGCTCGACGGCAAAATTTTTGGGAAATTTTGGTGAAACTAATAGGAGGTTGGGAAAACCGAAGAAAGCGGTTGGTAAGATGGGGAGGGGGGATCAAACCCTCGAAAAAAAGGGGGGGGTCGTACGGACTCCATCAAAATCCCCAACTATGATGTGCCCTGGCTTGAAAGGGGATGAGCAGTTTGCATTTGCTCTACTTTCCATCGTCGTGTCGAGCCCTGTCTGCTCAAGATCTGCGGAATCGCCATTCAAATTGGTAGGGACCACTTGTGAATTCAGGTGAAGATTCCTGTCACCTCTTGTAAAGCAAAACTTGACGGTGGGAAGAAGTGAAAGTGCAAAATGGCTCCCTCTCCTCCCCCTCCCACCTCCCCCCCCCCTCCGGAATGAGCCTATTCCCTTAAGGATGGTTCTAAGTTAGGGAGCAAACTTGGATACTTTCTAAATTCACCTAAAATTTTCCCTAGAACGTGGCGAAGTGTGGTTAAATTCAGGGAAAGGATGTGGTGTTCAAGGGAGCAGTGCTGTAAATGAGCGAGCAGTGCGTGATTAATTTATGAACTTTTGGCTGGGAAAACTTGTTCTGGAAAACGATCATCGCTTCAGTAGGTATTTGACGGTTAATGATGATCAAATCAAAGTGTCTCTCACGACAAAACTACAAATTATCACTCACTAGGCTTCAGGGCCATCATTGGTTGGAGATTTTAGACGAGTCTGTACGACCCCCCTTTGTCCTCTCAACGCTCCTCATTCGATATGAAGCGCAGAGCGGGGGGGGGGGGTAAGGGTATATAAGGCGGTGTGACCAGGATAAAGCTGCGAGGACAATACGACTCACCAGAGGGTTCTTCGATCCCTTGCCCAGCGCCACCCCCATTATACCAAGTTCTGAGATTGTCCGCCAACTTCTGTCATTTCACGAGAGCGTTAGAGGGGGGGGGGGCCAGGCAAGGGGGGGGGGTATATAGTACGATGAAAACAGGAAATCATTACAAAGCAACCACCGCTCTCTACAATGCAGAGTAAATATGACTTTCCTCATCCTAACAATGAGCGAGTGCGACCCCCCCCTATACAACATCCGTGAAGCGAGAAAAATCTACTAAAAAAAAATTTTCTCAGCCCAAATACGACCCCCCTCTCCTGGCGGCAAATCGACATCACTGCTATTGGGGATTTCCTCACAAGATGTGCCGCTGTCAGACTTGGTCATAGTATCGGATCTCAACTAATGTGAATTTGATTGACTATTGTCATTAATGAGACCTTGAGTTTGAACCTCAAGAAGTACTCGCGAGATGAGTAAAACTCAGCAACTTGAGATGTACATTCCCATTGGAGATGTGATGCTGAATCAAATGAGAATCTCTTCTTTGTTGTGTTTGGCTTCGGAGAATGGTGGTCGATCAGCAGTAAAGTGAGCAAAATATTATGCGGAAGTTTTCCAGTATGCGCATGAGCAGCTCATAATCATGCTCCGTAGAGGCCTTTCTGATCTGTGTTGGGTATTCTTCGTCATGAGTATTGTGAATAATCAAAGCCGTAGTTATAAATTTAGGTAAGCTTGGTAAGATGGTCCATCAGTTGGGAAGGGGGAAGTCGTATTCTACCGGAGTGGAGGACTCGAGGGACTCGGTTTAGCTAAAATCCTTCCTTCAGGAACAGCCTAGCTTTCAGCAGAACGTTTGAAAAATCTGAGAGAATCCGTCTCCCGGACAGGGTAACCAGGAATTTTTTCTACAGGTACCGTGAACCGTATCTCAGGTTGGCGGCAACGTCAGTAATAATACAGATCCGGTTTGGTTGGCGCTTTTCGGCCGTAGATGGGGCCTGACTTGATCGGCTATCATTAGCTGCTCCTGCAAAAAACTTACAAGAATGATATAGAATCTCATGATGCTGTCAAATAGTAATCTACCTAGAATTTTGGTGCTGAGTACGGACTTTTCTGTAAGAGTTGGATCCTGAATTCACGAAGATGGCCTATTCTCAACCAACAAATTGGAAACCACATCATCTACCCAACCGATTTGTTTTCTTGGAAATATTTAATATTTTCGTAGTCCTTTCTGAAAATCTATAAGTCTATTATGACTCTAAAAGGCAATCCTGTGTTTCCGTCACCGCTGTGGTGGAGAGAGAGAGAGTCGTAAAGCACATCTTTTACCGTATATTTAGTTTGAGGCAGTTAAAACTACGAGAAAAAAATATGTGAGCTATACAGTCGCTTACTCTGAAGATCACACTCTTGTCCTCAGATTTCACCGAGTTATTTTGTGACCATCTTCTGTTGAACTTGCCTTTTCGCCCCACATATTAGTGGGGACCCTGATCTTTTTGCCTTCTGCACTGCACTATCCTTTATCTGTCTCCTGAGCAGTATCAGGTTTTTAAGCAGTCCATTTAGCATAGCGTTTTCTCTAAAGAACATGTCACTCAGCTGGCTTTTTTAGCCATGCGCTTGACAAAGCACCGACTCTGCCATTGCCATCCCATCCCGTGGGATCGTCTTATTGTCGTTTTTCGTTTGGCTTCGCCATCGCTTTCGTTGTGCATGCTATCGTATTGTGTTATGAAAACGGATGGATCTGCTATATGCCGTTTAGTGTTCGCTAAACACGTCCTTCAGTACTGAATAGCGGTCGTCACTTGATTGTTTCCCATCGTTCGCCCCTTAATATGGTGGATACCATTATGAGTCATCCACCTGATTACTACTGTATGACTTATGGTGACTTCGAAGATGAGGATTCTTATAGCAGCCAGACCAGCAAGGTTTGCTTGGGCTTCTTGAAAGGAGGCAATTTTCAAGGGCATAAATTCGAATTTTTTGAGCTCCTTTTGTGTTTCTAAAAAACTTTATTACATTTGTGACTTTTGTTCAGAGGCCGTCGGAAAGTTCGGTCGAGGATTCTCTCCGCGATGTGCACGGGCGCCTTCATCAGTTGGCCTCTGAGAATATGGTAAGCAATTACCCTTCTAATGATTTATCTCCATTTTTTTTCTGATTTTTTTTTTCATCACTTCCCTTATCCCATATGTCCCGATGACATATCGAAATGTCTCAATACGATTGCCCGTATGGGAATGACGCTTCAATGCGTTTTTATTCTGTCGAGATTTTCAGTCATTGAATGAGAAGCTCGGACGTCAATCAGACGAATTGGCTGAAGCTCGCGCTCAATTGAGAGGATACTCTGGTGGCCTTGGTCCGTCACTTGGTCAGTTTTGCATTCCAATTTTGGAACACTATCATTTTTCTATGTTACCAGCAGAATCCTGCTGATAAATCTAGTTTTTATGCCACTGGATCAGCAAGCTGAACGGAGACTGGGCAGAAACTTAGGCTTCTTAATACCTCTGTTTCCCAGAAGAAAAAAAGTTTAATTTTTCTCATCATCTAATTATATTTATTTATTCTGTAGACATGTTGAAGAACATATGAGTAGAAATTAGGAGAACTACATTTTTGATGAAGCTAGAGACAAAAAATTAAACAAACACATCAATACGTAGAACCTGAGCAAACTCTATTACGGAACTTTTGATCTGATTTGAGTTTTCGCCACGGTAGTATTTAATCTGGTTGATGCTCCTCTTGTGTTGGATGGAACCAGTAAAAGTCCTCTACTATTTATTTTTACCAACCTGTTCAAAATTTGAACACAATGAGTAGGTCATATCTCTTGATATGAGATTTTTATCCCGTATTTAAAAACTTGCTCACCAAAGCTGTTCATGTTATAGTTTCGGTTCGGGTTTTTTTTTTACATTAGGCTCCCTCTCTCCGCCAACTCACTATGAAATATCTGATAAGTCGTGTAGGCGTGGCGGCAATTACCCATTGCACATATTTTAGCTGCACTTCTGCTTGGTGGCAGGGCACGCCATCGCGTTGTGATCATTTCCTGAAAAATACGACCCCCTCTAATTCTATCCTCAAATACGACCCCCTTAACTGCTACCTACGTTCTTCCTAGATTTTCCCAACTTCCTACCATTTTTTCCTAAAAAATTTCCAGTTTTTTTTCAGCCCAGAATATTTCCCCGTCGCAGTAGTGGGAAGGGTAGGAGTCGCAGGATTCAACTATCATTTTCAACTATCGGAAATAGTAATTGTATAGATCCTTGGTAGTCCTTCTCTCAACAACGACCAATACACCCCTTCCCCTTTACACCGTCCGTGAAACAAGAGAAATGAACTACAAAACTTTTTTTTCTCAGACCGAAATACGACCCTCCCTCGCGGTTAAATACGCCCCCCGTTGTGATCCTCACAGCGATGGCGTGCCCCGCTCAGTGGAGGCATTGAATGGTATTCAGCGAAAGTTGCACACAAATTGGCTCTTTTCCACCGTTTTGTAGCTTCCCAAGAGTTATGTACAAGTTTCACAAAAGTGAGAATTGTGAGTTCTTGAAGATGTTATTGCGGAAGCCATGAACTAACAGATTAACTAAAGAACGTGCGAAATGCCCCCCACCCGCCCCCCCCCCCCCCCACTTAGAAGCCGAAACAGCGCCTATATATTTCGAACCCATTTTTAGTCATCAGTTGCCTGGTGTCAAACTCTCTCACTCCTTTATCATCTGTTGAGCACATTGGCGACCAGGCGACTTGTCGTGTGCTGTCCCGTGGGACATGGCTTTTTGCAACGAAAGAAATCCCGGAGCTTGGACGATCTGACGCCAACTGCAATACTGACACAGTCGTAGCTTCATAAAGAATCTGTCGTACCCTAGCTTGTTTCGGCTGCTCCTTAACCGATCATATTTATTTTTTTAGACTAATAGGATATAGAAACGGGCCTAAGAAACGGAATTCTTCTACAGAATCTGTAGAAGAGATCCAATCCAGATCTATTGTCATTTCCATCGTTGCGCTAGCAATGAAGTACCAGTATTGAACATGAAAGCTACCTATGCTTGTTAGGATTATTCCCATGTACCTTTGGGATGAAACTATGAAAAATCTTCATGTTAACACTAAATAGACTACACAATCCTTCATGGTCAATAGGTGATAGTTGGAAATTTAAAAACTACCCAGTTTCTGATATGATAACTGCTGTTTTACAGAAAGTTATCACAAGAACGTTGAGATATGGGTAAAAGTCAGACTCGGGGCGGAAGTCGAACCCGCACCTCCGGCGTTTGACGTGGGCGGTTGCGTTTGAGTCCCGTCCCAGGTCCGACTTTTGCCAATATCTCAGCATTTTTGCGATAACTTCCCAGTTGTTTTTATTTCCATTACCTACCAACAATGGGACGTAATATCCAACGCGGCAAAGCGTCCAAATTGGTCCGCTATGTCGCCAAAACGTTAATTTGTCCGCAGCGAAGAAACCCCTTGGCGTTGGCGTCCAGTCTCTTGGGCAAGCGGCACCCACATGTCTTCTATCGCTCCGTATTAATAGCACTGACTCTGGCGGCGATTTCAAAGTGTGTCTGTGGAAGCGCAATAGGTCGGCGTTCCAGGTGCTTACCTCTTTGTGCGTGATTTCTGTTTGAGCCCTTGGAGAGATCCATACATTTGAGGTCTCCTGGTTGGTTCAGATGAAAAATTTAGCAGCTGGTTCCAGAATCACTTTGTAGGCCAAATACTAACTGTGATGCTTTTGCGGCTCTGAATGGAAGCTCTGATCGGAATGCGTTGTATGGTGAACTGTGTAATGTTTTTGTGGATGGCCGATTACCCTCAATCTTGCAAGTACTTGTCGCGTTTTTCTAGCGCGCTGTTAAGATGAGTCTCTCCAGCGGTCAAGTGCTCCTCCACCCACTTTAAGGGCAAACAGCCGACCGACGGCCTGCCTTTGTCTATCTACCAACCCCATCTTCTTTAGACTATAGATAACTTCATATCACAGAGACTTCGACCCTTGAAAAGCCTTTACTCTTTCTATTCCATGTCTATGCTTTCATAACTGCTCTTTTCCAGACACCACTGCCGATTCTGAAGTGATCCGTTTGGAACCTCTTTCCAAGGAAGGTGTGGAGCATTCTGCTCTTGTCGAGGTTTTCAACGTACCAGAGTTCACAAGAATCCTCATTTGCGGTTCGTTAACTTCGATCGATGTTGTTCCCAAGAATTATTACTCAATTTTGTTGATGTTCAGATCTGAAACCTCGTCTGGCACGTCTTCTGACGAAGTCGTTCCCGGCCTATGTGATTCTCGCCGCTTTCCGCTACTACGACCATGCGCACGACGAAACATCCCTCACAGGATTGTTCTCTACGCTACATATTATGCTCAAAGATACGGTCGCGGTGAGTGCTGATTTATTGAAAGAAAAATCTTGCTTCCATATCAAGATTATATTAGAAGTTCAGCAGAGCTTGAATGGTTTGTCGACACTTGAATGATTCTTTTTATTTGAGCCATTTCTAGCCCTTCTTTTGCTACTCCGTTCCGAACTGTTTGGTCGATAATTGCTTTGAAACCGGCCCAATGTAGGTTCTACAGGATGACAGCACTTGCTGTTATGGATGACTGGTATGGGCGATTGAACAAACATATATTACGAAAGGAGTTGAACAGGCTTGGAAAAGATTGAATTGGTGTCCGGATCCAAGGGTGCTCGGACTAAAGTTTGAAAGCATTCATTCGATTAAAAATGCAGAATCCAATATCACCTGATCACTGCAATATGCATATTATGCCGATACGATTCTGAATGGAAGTGTGGTGCGTGGGGCACGCTTGAAGACAGTCCCCGCGTTCGAGCACCCCATAGGCGTCCGTCCTTGTGAAATTTTCCCTCAGTCTCCAAGATTATCCTACTTCTGCGACTTCACAGTAAGTGGTGAAGGCGCTGCGGCCCTCATAAGTAGCAATTCTGACGCCTCGCTAGTTGTTCCCCCACCAAAGTTTGAAGGCTACTTTCTGTCACGATTTCAGTTTTTACACCAGGTTTTTCGTCCCTTTTTCACTGTTAGATGGTACTAGCACTGGATGATAAGAAGATCTTACTGAGCTAAAGGTGGCAGGATATCGCTCTGCTGGCATAAAACGTGCAGACCTGGTAAACTCGTCCTGTCTGCCTGATCCTTACTGTGTTCCTCATGATTTTTTTTGCTTTTTCCCTGCCGAAGGAGTCATTAAGCTATAAGTTTGAAATCGAACGCCTTATCCGCAATATACAATCGCGGGGTTGTCTTCAAGCTAGATAGAAGGTGGTTCCAACACAGCATTCGCTTGAAGAGAAAACGCTAGCTGTCTGCGCCAGCTGCTCGTATCATAAGTCAGTTTTGGCCTCCGTGGGAGCCTGTAAGGTACAATAGAGGTGTCTCGGCGTCATGTAAGTAAACGTTATAGTCGTTCTCGTCGTCGTTATAGGCGGTCAAACTAAACCTTGGGATGTGATCAGTTTCGCACACTTGGTGTTTTAAGGCATTTGGTGCTGGCGTATGGGGCTATTACCAGCCTGCTGGATGTGGTAATTGTGCTCAAGTGGTCAGTCTACCGTAGAGAAGGGAATTTCAGCTAATTCCTGGATGAAAATTCCGTCGGACTCTGAAAACTCCATTCTCCATTGAAGGCAGCAGCGCCCACGTTCATTTGATGTTTCTTCGCCCTCTCTTGTTATCGTAGCCCCCCCCCCTATGAGGATGCTATTTACTAGTTTTGCATTTCAAAAAAGGCGAGAGGGATAGCGCCGTTCGCTAGTGAAGTGAGTCGGCCGCCCCTCCCCACCCTGGCCAGCATAGGGTTCTATATAGGGCTTTTTCCATGTTTTTTCTGCCTTTTTCTTCACTACTAGATCACGTATTGTATGAGCTCCATAACTCAGTATTCTTGAAAGCGGGCTCGGCCTCCAAAGACAGCCCCCATGATAAAAGTGTCAAGGATATTTGCTATCAATTATGAAACAGTAGCTGATAAGTAATTCCTCAGTAAAGGAAAAAAGCCAACAAGACCAGTCCTTGAAAACACCCAAACAAAATTGCTCCCTTACAGTTACACCGCCCTGCGGTCCGTGTGGGCAATCCGGGCTCTCACAAATCGCTTTATGGCATTTCCCAGTAGTGGACAACATCCAATTCAAAGAAAAGAATATGAAAAACAACAAAGACACGAACAAGAAACACTTGAAAAAAGTAAATCCAAACCTCGGTGTCCGGATGGGGTTACAAGCCCAGTGTGCAGCTTTGGTGCATGTCGAGCTTTTGCACCACAGAAATTGCATCATTCGTGATTTTTACGGTTTACCTTACGAGATGGGTTGCAGTTGACTGTATGTGGCTCCCAATGAATAAAATGTGATGACGGAGAGCAGAATCATTTATGGGCACGAGCGCGGTCAGCAAAATGTACATGCACTTCCGATTAATGCCCGCCTTCCTAACAATGAACAAAAACTGAGCGGCTCTCCGTCAGAGGGCCGCTAGCAAGTGGGGCGGTCCAACTGGGCGGGCATAGAACTAGAACTTTGACCGGCTGTAGCTAGCTCCTCGCTCACTGTGGAGTCGCTAGAGTGGGATAATATCTACATAGCTTTTGGGGACTGAACTACCTGCCAAGTAAGGACGGACCTTGTACTACTGGAGCGGGAGCTGTATTCAAAGGCTAGCCAAACACAGTTATGGCAGAAAGCTGTGCGCGGCGGCGGCACCTCTTCACACGCGGGTGGCCCATGCCTCTCGTTAACTTTTAACGCTCTGAACATTAGTACATCCTCCACCCTGTCGACAAAGCTCGATACCTAAGTAAAGGAGGAACATCAAAATGAACGCGGGCGCTGCCTTCAAGTAGTGAGAGGATTTTCTATCTGTCGGGGAGGCAACCATAAATGATGAATAAATCCTTCTTTGAACGAGTGTCTTCGCGGCAACTATTCATGATCTCTATCAACTCCTTCCCTACGTCCTCCTTATTTCGTCAACCCTACCTCACGGATGGCGAAATAACAACGGTTTGTGGAGTAGAGTAGGTAACTAATCAAACCATTCCTCTTCTGTAGTGGTGGTATTCCGACCCATGTGTGTTTCTTTTTCTCAGGGAATGCTCCCCGGGGCGGGCCACAGCTCATCAAGGGAAATTTGGTCGATTGACATCACCTTTGCGGCAATTTTGCTTTCGTGGTGTTAGCGTATTACGCTCGAGCAGAGCCAACATTTTTTGGCTTTATCCTCCCAGCATCCTTTACTGATGCTAAGTATCATATTGAACAAGGATCGCCCACAGCTCACATTCTTTCCTGCCGATACAGGAATTTTTACGAGACCCGTGAGGATTTCATTGATGCATGGTCACTTGCTTGAGAAGGAGAGTTCGATCTGAATCCTACCGGGGGTCCTTTCCTCCATTTCTTTGACTGTCCTTTCCTTTCATTCACATAATGTGCTTGTTAGTTGCCTATGCCAGCTCAGAAATCGTGAGCAGATACCTTTCCAGGCGAAATAGGTTTTCACAATTCTTGGCTCACGGCATATCCGAAAATCTCTAAGATGTGGTAGGCAGGTGCCTGCCTACTACAGGTAAACGTGGCAGTGCGTGTGCTGCTTATGGTGAATCTTCCATTGCTCACAGTGTCTTCGTTCCAACACTCAGCAAGATGACAGTTGTCACTGAGAACATCTCGATGATCCACTTCGATTGTCAGGATTCAAATGCCAGCTGGCTCCCTTCAGGGATAAGAAGTAACGTTCGCGCCTTCTTGTCTAAAAACCCTCGCACAAAATCCCTCAGCTTCTTGCAAACTTATGTGGCGCCCTTTGTTTTCTTTCTGCTGAACCTTCGGTGTTTTTTGCCTGCACCTTTTTCCTCCCCTACGCCACCAGGACATGCATGTGATAAAAAAGTTTCCGACGTTGTTTATCTATTTGACGAAGATGCTACGCCATGGCATCAGTACCATCCATTCCAAAATTGGTGTGCTTACGGAGTGCAACTTTGGCCTACCACAATGGTTGCAGGGCCAGCCGCTATACAAACAGCCAGCGTTTTCACCTATCCGACGAGTCTCCGGTAGTAACTTGAGCCACCCGTTTGTAGAGCCTCGGTTTGGCCTGGAGGAAGGGACAGGATGCATTGGCGGTAATGGCTGTGAGCATGATAGAAGTCGCCCGAAATGCCCATTTAGAACCCCTAGCTTAACCGCGCTTGTACGTGCATGAAGACAGAGGACGGGCGTGGATCGGCTATGAGTGCTCACCTGTGGCTGACACATTTTCTCTAGAATACCGCACATTGTACACTATAGGTGGTACTCCGGCCACAAGCTTTCTGGACGAGCCCATCGAAAGATTCCGCCACAGCGCACCGTGATTCGCGGCTGAGTTATCAGCGAGATGAGTTGAATTTTTCCGCCACTGCTAGACCACCCTGTTGAGCTCGCCTCGAAACGTAATCGAGGAGGTTTAGGTCATGTGGGGAGCAAGTCTCAGTTTCTCAACAGCCTTCCTTTCCTAGCGGTGCGAAGTTTTTCACGCCCTTCGATTCCATGTGGTAGCCACCAATTCCTGTAGCAGTAATAAAGTTTCCGAAACAGGCCGACGACATGAAAGAGGACATTCTCTTCGGACATTGGTCGGTGTAACGTCAGCGTCCACCTTTGGTCCGCGGTCCACGTAGAAAATATGTCTTACCATTCCAGGAACTCGGTCCTACCATCAACGCGCGCCTTGGCGACTGCGGTGAAGATGATATCCTGTACCGTAGCGACGTTGTCGGAGCTGCTCGATGTTGGGGGTCTTCCAGATCATGAGTGCCGGTCCTCTCCAGCGTAGTGTCTTGCGGTGGGCTCGATAAGAAGTTCCGCGGCTGTTTAGAAGGTGACGTGAATTCCATAGGCTTTGTCCAGTGCCGGTTGCAATTGGAGATGACTTCAAATTTTGCTGTACAAGAAGGTGATGGACGAGAGCCTGCTTCGATTATCGAGGAACATCTTGGGTATCTTCCGCCATGGTTCTCGTATCCACGTCTTCTGTCCCTCCGCGGCTGCCGAAATCTTACTGATATGCTGACCTCGACGAGCAGAAATAGTGTCTTGTTTCGCCACCCCCTGTAATATTGGTATACAGAACACCACCATCACCAACTAGCACGCTCAAAATGAAGGTGGGGATTGCCGTGCGCCAGTGAGGGCACGTTAACTCGTCGTGAACCAGTGAGCGTTCTTTTCGTTATTCCTGTGTCCCTAAGTGCGTGGTGATCCGTTCATGTTGACCAGGACTTCTCACATAGGAAGGGTTCTGAACATAAATGAATGCCGGGCATGCCTTTAAAGCGCCACATGGTACGCTCAAACACATTAAAGCGGTGCCATGAGACTATCAAGCACCCAGCTGTCAACTGTGTCGTGGTCCCCCCCCCTCACCCCAAACAACTGCACGGTCAGAGTACCGGGCCGTGGGAAACTCCGTAATTCCTGTGCTACACCGCCGTTTTCGTAAAACCCATCGTTCTTCACTAACACCATCCGGCGCGGTCGCGTGCAGCTCTCTTGGCTTTTTGCCAAGTCCTGTAATTGCGCTTTGGAATACAAGTACAACGCAATTTCTTTATGCGGATAACATTTTAGGTGCTGCAAAATAAGAACCGAAGATGATGACGAGGGCTAGAACTCAAGAGCAACTGTGGTGCTTCTGCAATATCCCTCAGAGGCCGCGCATTCCCACAGAACATGACAATAAAAACGGACAACATGGCAATAAAACATATGACAAATACAAGAAAGAACGCAATTTCCTAACATTTGCGGGACATTGCTCATGCTTCAAAGTCCGAATAGAAGGTGATGAAGATGACAAAGGCTAGAAATGAACAACAACGAATGTAGATGTAAATAAAACAAAATTGAAAAAACTAAGGAAACGCAATAAATAAAATCGCGTTGCACACCGATCGTGTGCATTTCTGCGATCCGGCTCGAATCCGGCTCTAATGCTATAGAAATACTTCAAACTAACGAGTGGGACGCTTAGGCCGTTTTTATTTTGATGTTTTGTGGGGAATGCGCGGCCTGCGAGGGCTGTTGCAGAAGCAGCACAGTTGCTCTTGAGTTCTAGCCCTCGTCATCATCTTCAGTTCTTATTTTGCAGAACCTAAAATGTTATCCGCATAAAGAAATTGCGTTGTACTTGTATTCCAAAGCGCAATTACAGGACTTGGCAAAAAGCCAAGAGAGCTGCACGCGACCGCGCCGCGCGACGGTGTTAGTAAAAACGTGAGTTTGCAAAAACGGGCGGCGTAGCAAGGAATTACGACTTTCCCACGGTCCCGTACTCTGACCCCGTGCAGTTTTGGGCGGGGGGACCACGACACTTCGACAGCTGGGGCTGATAGTCTCATACACCCTCAATGTGGTCTGAGCGTACCGTGTGTCTTTAACCTTCTTTTGTCCATGCTCAAGCCCTTTCTCCTTCGCAAGATTTTGCAAGGGTGCGTGCAATGAAACCTCTTTACCCTTTGCTCAACATCAATGACACCCAGTCTTATTGTTAGGACCATATCTCGTATTGTGAAAGCGTTTACCAAATATAGAAAGCCAGTTGAAGAACAAAGATAATGAGTTTTCAGGAATGCTATGAGCTGTTTTTTCAGCGATTTCGCACGATATACGGGACTGTCGCTATGGTTGGTGAACAGCTGGCGCTTGTTCAATCTGCTACGACAGTACAGTGGTGAAAAAGCTGAACCGGTATGTGTCCAAAGTCTTCTCAAAGTTGGTGATCCTCAATGAATAGCTTACAGGAGTGGACAGCGGCCAACACGAAAAGCAGAACAGCCATCGTTTACAGTCGTTTGATATAACGCCAATTCGGGAACAGCTCCGATTGCGAGTTGAGGAATGTTATCAGAATCTCATGAAACGGCGGACATCGAGCCATATGAGTCCGAAAAGTTGTGTAAGTAGCTAGGGAAAAGGCGCCAGTCGGCCGACGAGAGAGGGCCATTTGTCATTTTGCTACGGTTCAATCGACGCCAGTGTCTTACCCAGTACAGGTGCTACTATGAGCTTACAAGCGTTGATGGGTTCTACCATGACGGCTCGACGAACTTGCTCCAGTCTCTCAAGAGGTCACAAGTTCCACCAAATTGAGATATACAATCCGGAACCAGTGGATCATCAAAAGTGACCCCACCCCCGTCACCGAACTGCCCTGAAAGAAATATAACGCACCATTATCAAAACCTAATGGCATGGCATTTGTAGTAAGGCGTAGCTTTTTTTGGAAGTAGCCTTGAACACTATGACGCCAGTGAGAATAGGGAGGATTGGGGCCATCACTTACCTGATACGCACTCCTAAGCACTACATATCTGCGATCAAACAGATGGGCGGGGGAAAAAAACATATAATTATATGACGTGATCGAGTCAGATATGATAGATCATAGGCTTCTGTTTTTTGCATTTCGGCACAGCTTGCCAAGCTTATATGTTGTATGTCGGTCGATTTTCCAGCCGATTTGTTGTCCCTTACTTGCTCGATCTAGGAAACTGGCGCGCTCGCCAAACTCAATCTCACTTGACACGCCCCATCATTTGCACGCGGAACAATCCTGTACACGCGAGAAATATTCTGGTCACAGCAGCAGCAGCCTTTCTGTACGCTCTTCCCTCTCGGATGATTTTCAGACATTTCATTCTGAATTTTATTATAAAAGTACTGCATCGAAATGCATAAACGACACGGAATAAGCTGTTGATAAAGCAAACATAATAATTCAGTAATATAAAACTGTTCGCTGTATTAAGTCACTATGAACCGGCATGAGCTGACTAGCGCATTTTTATTCCGCGCGACAAGCATCGGGCGACGCTTACGACGAAAGTGCGGCTTGTACATCCATGGCATCGGTAGGCTTAGAAATCGAGAAAACCCAGCCAAGCTGCGCCCTACCCGTGAACCACCGTATTTTTGAAAAATTTGACACGATAGAATTAGTTCACGAACACTTGTCTTGCAGTGCCCGGTATATTACAACACGAAACTGCGAGCGATGTGCTCGGTGTCACCGTGAATGGCCGACAGCCTGCTCGAGAAGGCCACCGTGAAGCACCGAAAAGAGGCCTGGACGATCTTATGGACTTTGTGAGTCGTTTTTTCCATCTCCCATCTTATAGCTATTTTCTCAGCATTTTTTTCAGTTGAACTTCGTACATGCAAAGTTAGACAGTGTACGTGCTGACAGTCGGTCAGATAGCCAGCTGGATATGTGCCTTATCGTTGAATCACTTGATGTTCAGAAAGGAACTCTGTAATTTCGAAAAAGCTGTCCAAATCAAGTAGGTGTTCATTCCTTCAATGCCACATACATCTATCGAATTCGTTATTTTCCAGGCACAACGTCACAGAAATCCAAACGTGGTTATTTTCCAAGGGCTTGGGAGCATATCGTGAACTCCTTGATCCACTCGTACAGGCTTGCCATCTACTTCAGGTGAGGTTTTGCCCCTTATTAGTGACTCGCGATAACGTATCTGTCTTTTGACCTCCCCAATGATATGCACTGGAATAAAGCTACTGATGATACTTCCTTTTGTCCTTCTTGAATGGGAAGCATTTCAGAGTCGTAAGGACGAGTCCAATATAGACACATTGTGTGGAGAGATGACAAGCAAGCTGAAACCTAGACAAGTGGGTTTTTTAATTTTTCAGTAAATATCTCAAGAATCTTTTTTCAGCAATTAGTATTGGAGGCTCATGGAAATTTTTCTGAAATAATTTTTTTTTGTTTGCTGTGAAATAGGTGTGGTCATAGAAAATCGGAGCTGGTTCTTCTAAGGGGTCACGGAAATATCGGATGTAATTATTATCGAAGAGCGCTATTTCAGCCCGACAAATTCTCACCTGAGTGTTCATATTATTTTACCCCGTGGTCATAGAGACCATCTGAGTACTAAACTGATCCGAGAGAAAGGACTCAGGTTGCTCTCCAACACTTTGTGTATTTCTGTTGAGCTGCTCGCTGATCATAAGCATTTGGCCGTTTAGCGAATTAATCAGCTGTCAGACTTTACATTGGGTTGGCCCATAAGTTATGGCGTTTTTTCTTATTCGAAATATCGCGCTAAAGATGAACAGTTATGCCATTGAGTTTTATATTACTTTGCAGAGAATTATGGCACTATTTACCCTTTACTGCCCCAACCATCCAGAATTGAGCCAGTTTCTGACCGACTTTGTTCCCCGTGGAATATGACAATTCGCTTAGCCCGAAACCTCTTGGCGCCCGCGCCACACGCGCCGGTGATCTGGGGTATTTTGGCGCCAGCACCTGTAGCGCGGGCGGCAGGAGGTTTCATATTCGATATTCGTGTTCAGGAGGTCAGACTACCCCTGAGAACAAGTTTTCAGCGAATTTGGTAATTCAAGGTATTTTGGCGCCGGCGCCAGGAGGTTTCGTGCAGCGGATGTGATATTCATGTTCAGGAGGTCAAACTACCCCAGGGTACAAATTTTCAGCCAATTCTGCCAAGGCAGAAAAAAGTCGGTCAAAAACAGGCCTGTTTTCGGAAGACTGGGGCAGTAAAGGGTATAGTGCCAGAATTCCTTGCCTATACGGTTCTCTTCTCATGTCAGTTTTCTTGAAGATCCCTTTCCACTAATATTTAAGTGTTTAAACTGGAGTGTTAGGTCGACGAAATTGAGCAGCACAGCCTCTTTTTTCACCTCTAATTAAGAAGCTGAAACCGCACAGGCCTACTTGCTGGGGCCAGGGGGCTATAACTCTTAGGAATACTGGCAACGGTTTCAGTGATTCGAAGATTTCGATTTCGACCTCACAGACGAGCATCGAACATCGTTGATGCCCCATTGAGTACAGTTGAGAGCTTTCTGAATTACCTTATTCACCGGAGATTCATGCCAAGGATGGGAAATCGTTAGAGGTCATGGAATGCTTCCTTATCATTATCAAGCATCACCCTCAGTTGATGTTAGACGTTCGAAAATTAGGGTAGGTTCTGCAGGCAGTCGCTCCCCAAGAGAACCTCCCATGCGACGCTTATTTACAAGGTAGGGATTCCCACCTCTTGATTGCTTGAACCACTTCGGGCTGGCTTAAGAAGCACCGTTCCTCGGTCATCGCACGTTCCTTTGGTCGAATATCACAAGCTTTGTGCTTCTTCAATAACTTGGGAGCCAAGATAAAGTGCAAAATTTGTTGTCGAAAACCCACTTTGGTGTCGACAAAACACTCCACTTCAATGATTTAAAAATCGACGGATATTAAGAAGTAGTAGGAAGGCAGTCATATCATCTCAAAAAGCGGAAAATTATCTATCGAATAGTATATACAACACATTGGTAACGATCCTCACTTTTCTTATAAAAATTTGTTATCAGAGAAAAACGCCATTACTTATGAGCCAATTCAATACATAAGATGTGAGAGCGGCACCTATGAGACCTAGTCAATGGTTTAGGGAACTGAGGAGCAATTTACAGAAGACTTGGCAAGGTATAAGTCGTAGACGTTGAATGGTGTCGTGGGAATGGAGTTCGTGTAGAGGAATGGCGTATTAGTGATACAACCCGCTATCCGTGAAGAGGACACATAAGCTGATACTCAAGTTATATCCCCAACCATAGACACTAGTTCTATTCTCAGAGTGCCATAAAGGAGCATCAGAAGGTAGTACATGCTTTGTTAATAAGGCAGTTTGGGAAATAAACCCACGCCACGCGACTAAAGCAGTCTCAAAAGTGGTGGTAGGAGTGCGGCATTCGCACCAAAATCTAATCGGTTTTCTGTGGTAGTGAAGCAGTACATGCAAATATGATCCCAAATGATAGGGCATGTGACGGGGCATAAATCAGAGTGTTGCTAGAACGGCCTTTTTAACAAATGACGCCACCCTGAGTCCGCAATCGCTGCCGGGAAAGTTGCCCTGGCTGCACTTCAGTTCACGTCCCTTCACACGCCCTGTCGTTGGCAGAAATCATGACTGTATGTTGAGTCACTTTAACAGCAAATATCCTGCACGCTTCTGCGCTAACTGTGGATCTTTCACACTTCACCTGGCAGTTCGCCAACACTGTTTTTCCAGAATCAGATTTTATTATAATAGAGTTCACGACGATGTGAAAGTACATGATGGTTTTAACAGCGGTGCAGATACGAACAGGAATACCCTAGCGAGAGGATGACTGGAAAATCTTGGCTTTAAATTGTGCTGTCGTAACCCCCGAACAGTGAAAAAGAGTAGGTAAATTTGAGGGCAGTATGGACCAGAAATGAAATCTTGCATTTTGAAATCGAGAAGTTCAGTTATGGAACATGAGAGATAAAAGTCAGGATACAGCACAGAGCCCCCTATCTTCAAACCCGTCGAGCGTGGAGGAATCCGTTTCTATCAACCGTCAGAAATTATGAAATTACCTCGCCACCGACTTTAGGAAGAAGCTCCCTAGACGGGAGTTAACAATCAAAAAACATTGCCAGACCGACGAACACGACCTCCCTCTGCCAGTGACCAAACACGGCTTCCCCCCCCCCTTTAGAACATTCGTGCGGCTTCAACGCTCAAGTTAGATG